TCTTAAAGATATTTAAATCAAACAAGTATACACTGTTGGCTGTATTTCTGTTTGCTCTTAATAGTTTCCTGTTGCAAAAGCTAACCAAATGATATATTTTAATGTATGTACAGTCTTCTGATGCTCCTGCAATAAGTTGTGATTATTTTTGGATTGCAATGTATCAAAAGCAAATATGGATAAATGTGGGGGAAAAAAGGTAATTAATAAGGTAATCAATTTTTGAATGCTGCACTAGGATAATTAAAACGTGATTATAATAGAGGAGGTCAGATATGTTTATCACAGATAAATGTAAAGAGTAAACAAGACTCTTTATCCATGATAGCAGCTCTGTGAGGCTGTACTATAGGCACAGCTGATGTCAGCATGCTAACATCCTCACAATGTTAATGTTTAATGTTAATCATGTTCATCATCTTAGTTCATCACTATGGCAACTGATAATTAGCCAAAAACTGTTGAGGCTGATGTTATTGGTGGGATGTCATTAATGTTGCAGGTATCTGGTCATAAAGTATAAACATTGAAAATGTTGACCTGATGATGATGCTAGATGAAAATTATTATTAAATTATTATTATTAAATTATTAATTAAAAATTATTATTATTATTATTATTATTATCATATAATACAATGCTTAAATTAATAACTGTAATGCAATTAAATTTATTTGTCACCATATGTTAAATTAAACGAATAAATATGTTAAAAATTAATTGTATTTGTATTTATTTATTTATTAATTTACATTTGTAGAAGCATTTGTAGCTATTTATTTGAATATATATTTACTTATTCATTTATTCACATATTTCTTTATTTGCAATTTTGTTATATATACTTTTATTTATAATTTTGTTAAAAAAATAAATGTGTCAGCTTCATCCATTAAAAGTTAGTGGGCGGGTAAAGCCTCTGATTGGTTGATCGAGCTATGAGTTTGGACTGTGATGTGGGGACGCTGAAATCACTCCTGAAGAGGGGGCCTGTCTGTGATATAGCATGTAGCAAAATACAGTAAACAGTTAGGAGGAAATAAAAGTATATAACAGTGTGTCTTAATAATTCATGTTAGTTAAAATAAGCTATATTCAGTGATATATAGTAGCATCCAGTTTTGTTTATATTAAGACCTAACTCTCAGGCATGCACAGTATGTATACTAGCAAACTGTCAACAGGCCATCGTCAAAACTGATCACTGTGGCGGTGTTCACTGCTATCAACTTCCTGCTTTACCTCACTGACCTGGCCTATACTGCCTGAGAAAAAAAGAGACAAAGGAGGGAGACACACTGAGCGATGAAGAACATAAATAAAA